GATGTCTGCTGATAGATCATCGTCACGCCAATTAGGTGATGCATCATTATTGATGACATTTTCACGGGCTCTGTCTTCGAAAGTAAAGGAAAGAGAAAGAGAGAGAGAGAGAGAGATTGATCGTAAGTAAACAATTGGGTACCCTAGGTTTCTTTTAAGTGTTACTGTCATATTCGCTTTAAGTTGAACAAGGTCGAACTGGTCTCTTGTTCCATTTACCATTAATCGATGAAATAACGTTCGTTCTTTTACTCGTTGGTTCTAATCGTTTCCATTCTGTAGTGATAATTGACACAGTACACGTATATTCAAGAGTTGCTACCATTGATTGACCCAATCAATTAAATATGCATCATAGCTTTTTGAAACAATCTAAACGATTGTAACTAAGGATATGTCTTAATGAATCAGTCATCTCTAGAGGGATTCTAGTCTATCCCTAGATGAATATTCTTTCTAGTTGACGATTATAAACGATTAGCATACATGTGTGTACACGCTTCATTTGTTATTTAAGCGCTTCATTTTGTGTATCTTTAAATATATATATATATATATTGATGTGCATGCATGCGCGTAGATAGAAAAAAAAATTTATTCCACTAGGAACATATCTTCCATAGCGATATTTAGGATAGAAGAACATTTCTATTTACATGTAATACTTGTTAGCTACTTCACTATACGAATAGTACGACCAAGAAATAGATGAATAGATGGAAGAGAAAATGATGAACATTAAATAACTCTTGTCTCTCTATCAAATTGTCGTTCTATCAGACCACTCAGTCAAAAACTCTCTTCGAACGAGCACAGATAAATACACGCATGCAGTTAGATGATCTGTCGCCGTTGTCGTCGTGGATAGGAGCGACAAGCCGACGAGAACGATAGCAAATGAGAGAGAGAGAGAGAGAGAGAGAGGGAGAGAGAAACAAGGAAGACATAACGAAAATCTGCTCTATACTCGTTCTTTCTTTTGTTAGACTATACGCTTCTCATTCGGCCGTCGGATGATCGTTTCTGTAACAGTATGCGATAGCGAACGCACAAGTCAAAGCATTGGAAGAAATCTCGCATTGCTCTCGAGTAACAGCATATTAGTAGCAGCGACAAGTCTATTTTCTTCAGTTTTTGCCTTCTCTTCTCTCGTTCTTTCTACTATTACTATAGATGCATTGCCTACGCCATCAAATAGACATTAGTACCAATGAATTTTCTCTATTGCTTTACGACAACGACGAAGACAACAACAACAATCAACACTCATAGTAATATTCATCCACGTTGTTGATACTAAACTGAGCCACGAGACAGAAGAAGAAAAAAAAGTAAAAAAAGAAATCAGTATTGTTGTCTTTTCTATTAGTAAACATTTGGAAATTTACATTATATTACTGTAAGGTTTAGTGTCGATCATTATATTCTTTATTCATTTTGATTTGTGTAAGTATGAATGAACGACTGCTGTGAGCGCATGGTAGTTGATTTCTAAACAGATGTGTCGAGTATCACATTAAGGTCGCCGGATGGGCAAGAGGTAGATCATACCGATATATCTGGATTCTGTATATAAATATATGTTAAGACAACAAGACACGCCAGTTGGAGCGATTCATTCAGTATATTCATTTGATATTTCTCTTGGGTAGAAATGTTAAGATTGCCTGCTTGCATGTTTCTCTTCGTTTGCCCTTCAGTAGCATGTGCTAATTCGATCGACGTCATCAACTATATACAGAACACCGGGACAACTGTCGTTCGGGTATGCAATAGGAAACAAAATCTTATTCATTGAATTACAATTAACAGTTCACCAGTCAGTAACTATTCAATCTTCATTGTTTTATTTTTTCTTTATTGATTGTGTAGAATAGATAAAAAAAAAACTTTATAGCTTTTATTTCGTTCATATTTTATTGTCATAAGGACAATAAACAGAATTGACATCCTGAAGTTAAATATTCTATTGAGAATTCTATATATATATTTTGTTTTTTTGTTCTCTCGATATTTATTCTATAAATTTATCTGAATAGAATGTAAGCTAATCTATGAACATCATAACAACTATTAGAATGTTTTATGTTAAAGAAAAAAAAAAAAAAAAAAGATAAGTTCAAATAACAAATTTGCGTATATAATTTCTTCTTGTCTGGTTTTGTCATTTTTCAGGGAATAGATGTATGTAGATGAGATTTAAACTCGAAACATACACACATATACGCATCAATTAGTTCTGCTGGAACAAGCAGTTCTCGCCTTTGCCTTGTGTTCGTCGATGGTGATCGTATCAAGATAATTCCTTTTCCTTGTGCGAACAACATCGTCGTTTTGTGCGTGTATGTCTGAGTGAAAATTGTTCTGACAATGGTGGAGTAGTAGTGTTAGTAATAGTAACATAAGAAAAGAATGAAGAATAAGAAGAAGAAAGAGAAGGAAAAGATGAGATGTTGATTAACGACTCGGACCAGTTTGCTCTTTGCCTTGTCTTTTCTCCGAGTTTTTTTCTCTCTCCCTCTCTTCTTTTGCAGTATATATATATCTTTTCTATTTTATATTAAATAATAATCTACTTGTCTATTTTCTTCCAAGTTTTTTTTTTGTTAACTTCATCGAACATTTTCTATTTTCATTCAGGTAATGAACTGTATATGTTCATATTACAGTATTAATGAAAGAAATAAATGATGTTCTCAATCTAATTATAAATGAAGCACGTTGTTGAAATATGTGAATGCATAGTCATTTCTCTAATCCGTTTGAACTAATGCAGGAAACTACATTTGAAAAAGTGTTTACTCGAAGATTGTTTCCTGCTTCTATGTATAGGCTTTTAAAAAAGGATGTGCTAATACTATGCTATAGTGTATATATATATATATATATATTTAAAAGGAACTGTATGTCATCTACTTCAAGTCTTTCATTATACTTGAAGAATGAATAGTTAGTCTCTTGTCGTTGTCATCATATGTAATCTCATTATATTCTTTGAGCATTGTTGATTTGAGTTGTCTTATGTAGCTACGACATACATGACGACAAAAAAACTCTTTTCTTCCATCTCATCTTTCATGGACTAATAAAAGAGTAATAGCAACTACTATATTGCTCATCCATAGTTCCTATCGTTTCTTCTTATTTAATCGTGTAGAAAAGAGAGACAGAGAAGAAGAAAAAAAAAGAAAAGAGATTAGTATCCGTTGAGAGTTTTTTTAGCGTTCATAACATTGTATGCGTGTCTATGTGTCAAATATATATGCGATATATTCATAGAAGCAAAAAAGATGATGAGTATTATGGAAAGCAAGAAAAAGAATAAAACAAAAAAGAAGGAAACATTTTTCGTTATCTTAATATAGAAGAGAAGGAAAAATACGACACAAAAAAAAGAAAGACAAAGAATAGATTTTCTAAGCTCTCGTGTTAACGTTGAAACATTTTCGATGAGAGAATAATAAAGTAAGTCAAATTATTATTTACATATTGAAATCTCTTTCCTTTTTTTTTTCTAGCTGATAAACTAACGTAGAACTACATGTCATTTAGATTTTCAAAATATTCTCATAGATAGGTTATTTGTTTCCGAGGACATAGTAAATTTACTATATTCTAATTGACATCACGCACGTAAATTCTTCGAACGATACACATGTTTCTCTATCACGCAACTAACTAATTGAGATCCCTAAACAGTCTTTTGCGTAGTCATAAGTATTTGCTTTTGGCACGACATGTTCATTTTGCTTGTTGTCTGACTTATGTTCTTCGGACAATCAAGAAAAAAAAAAAATAAAAATCTAACGAACATGTTTGACTACTTAATGGATAAGAAAAATCTCTTTCCTTTTTTTTTCTTTTTGCTTAATCGTATTCTTATACGATGTCAATACATGTGTGCATGTATTTTATCAACGAAGAACATATGGCTCAAATGACTGAAGTTTATTCCAACTTATATTATTATCAATTAGAAGTTATGTCTGCTTGTGATGAATATGACAGTAAAAATTCTGACGATAATGAGGACACAAATAATAATCTGCTTGAGGAGTTAATTTTCTATACCATCAGAGAAAAAAAACACTTCCAAATGTTTGTTGATGTCAAACATACGATCAACAATGAGAAGTATTCGTCATTATCTTAGTATAGACTATATTTACTAGACTGCTATATAAGAAATATACATAGATTGATTATTGAGACTAAAATTTGTTTTCTTTTATTGAAATCTGGTCATTGGAGACTTTTCTATAATATAACTAGTCATGTGTCATCTGTATGTCGTTGACAACTAAGCATATGTTACATGAATATACGATTATATATTTCGTCAGAAGAAAATAAGAAATATTATTCATTATAGTTTTTCTCTAAGACAAAGTATATTGCTTGATACATAATATTGTGAAGGTGATTAAGTATGATAATTAAATTGTATGTTAGATCTTTTAAAATAGAGAAATATAAATAAAATAAAAGAAAATCACTTTTCCACATCGAACAAACAAAAAAAAGAATTTATCGTTCACCGATCATATTATAATCAATTATTAATGCAAGTAAGCAATAAGGCGCTTCGATTGTAAAATATTCATCGCTCATTTTTTTTCTCTTGAGTTTTTTCAATAAAAAAAAAAGTAACGCTATTGAGTAAAAGGAGAATAAGAGCAATTGCTATAAAAAAAAAAAGGCAAACGGAACGATTGATGATGAGTGCTAACAACTTATTTCTAACGCCATTTCATCCGGGAAGGAAATAAGGATGCCCGATATATATATATATAATAAATTAAGGTTCTTCACTACTCAAAAGAAAACCTAAAAGTAGATTGAAGATAATGCATAAATCTAATAATCATTTCTTGTTTTTTATTTATATATTTCTAGGTACCCTTCTCCCTTCGTCTTCACACATTTTCACGACCTACCTGCCCTTGATTTTCACCTTCGACATCTGTCCCTATTATAAATCAATATTTAATTAATAAATCATGATGATGGACAATGCAAAACATCATCAGCAACAAGTTGTTCAATTAAATAATGCAAATCCACAAAATGTTAATAATAAATCAGCAGGAGAAATTGAAAATTTTCTTACTATACGTTTACTTATGCAAGGCAAAGTAAGTTTTATTTTTATTATTTTATCTTTCTTAATATTTATTTATTTATAGGAAGTTGGCAGCATCATTGGAAAACGTGGTGATAATATAAAAGCAATTCGAGAAGAAGTAGATTCATTTCACAAAAAAAATAAAATTAACATCTGAAAAATTTCAATTAAATTTTTAGAGTGGTGCTCGTATTAATATTAGTGATGGTACAACACCAGAACGTATTGTTACTATGGTTGGCACTATAGAAACATTATCAAAAGCGTTCGATATGATATGTCAAAAATTTGAAGACGTAATTTTTTGTTTTTAATTCTGAATTAAATTTTTTTATCATTTGGAATTTTATATTATTTAGGATTTAAAACAAACATGTACAACAATTCCTCCAATTACATTACGACTTGTTGTACCTGCAAGTCAATGTGGTTCAATTATTGGTAAAGGTGGTGCAAAAATAAAAGAGATTCGTGAGGTTTGTTTTAGATTATGGATTTGGTTTTTTTTGTTTTTATATTGAAGACTTTATTTATAGACAACAGGTGCATCAGTGCAAGTTGCATCAGAGATGTTACCAACATCAACTGAACGTGCTGTTACAATCTCAGGTAGACTTGAATCAATTGAATCTTGTTTTCGACAAATATGTCAAATTATGCTTGAAGTATAAAAATTATTGATTTCTTTTTTCAATATATCAATACATGCATTATTTAACAGTCGCCACCCAAAGGTGAAACAGTCCCGTATAGACCTAAAATGATGATATCACCTGTTCATGCACCAATCATTTTTGCTAATGGACAAGCTTATCAAGTTCAAGGTCAATTTGCTATTCCTTTACCACCAAATGAAGTAAGATAAATATTATTGACTTAAGTATATATTCTTTTTTTTTATACATTTTAGTTAAATGCATTTGGACCAATGGCTTCTCTTGGACCTGGTTTACCTTTACAAGCTGGTAAGTTGAAATGAATAATTTAGTTTATCAACAATGATTTCCTATTAAATATTAATAATTGTTTTTTTTTATTTTTTTCTCTAATAGCACCTTTAATGCCAAATGGTCTTCCAGCAAATCGTGCAACATTACAATCACAACGTGAAATAACGATTGCTAATGATCTTATTGGTTGTATAATTGGTCGTGGTGGACAAAAAATATCAGAAATTAGGTAAGATTCAAAAAAAAAAGTTTAATTAAATTTATTTTTAGTTCATAAATATCTATCTAGACAAGCATCTGGAGCTAATATCAAAATAGCTGATCTTGATGAAGGTTCACAAGATCGACATGTAACAATATCTGGTACGCCTGAACAAATACAATTAGCAGAATTTTTAATTCATTCAAGGTAAATAATTAGATTTTTGCTTTTAATTTTTACAAAGTTGTTTTTTTTGTGTAATAGAATTGCTTCCGAAATTGGTGGGATTTTAATAACTCATTGAACTTATTTTCTATTGTTAATCACACATACATAAAATAACAGTATTTTGTCGTTTTTTTTCTATGCAATCTTCCGGTTCGTAGCTACGCATTGCTGCACACCAATTATTCTTTGTATGTGTATTTTTTTACTCACTTGCAGTCGATCGTTCTGTATGTATATGTGTGTGTATATGTATTCTTTTCTTTTTTTTTTAAATGTATTTTTATTTATATGCAATTATGTCATGTGTGTTTGTCTGTCTTATATTTGGTTTGATGCAACGATATAGATGTTTGTATGTAGCTGTACAACAGTGATCGACTAAATTTCGTATTTTTAACACGCAAATGAAAATTTTTTTTTGTTCTTTTTAAATTTGCATTTTTTGTGTGTGGAACAAGCTATTTCTTCTTCTTCTTCAATGGATTGACTTTATGTCTCCTGTGTTCTTTCAGTTTTCAAAGTTCATTCTATCTTTTCTTTTGCACTATAGACAATATACGCAGAGTGTGTGTGTGTGTTTGAAAATTTATTTTGTTGTTATTATATCTTAAAAAAATCAACCAAAAAAAATATTATTGATTTTTTGATTTTAGAGGAAAAAAAAACTCGAAATTGAGAAGTATCATGTAGCATATTAGACTTTTGTTATGTTTTGATCATGAGAAATTACTCAAATTGATCGATGACTAACAGATATTTTCTGTCAAGAGAATGTCAAAGATATAAAATATGATTTCTTTTTTTTTGGTAATAATAATCTCACTCATTAGTTTATAAACAAATCTATTACTTACTAGTATATTATCTGACAAGAGTCAAATTCAATGTTTGTCGAGGTTGTGTCAAATCTCAAATAGTTACTACTTTTTTCACTAAATCTATGGTTGCTAAATTTTGAAAACAATAATCTATAACAAATAATAGAAAAACAGAAATCGATGATTTACTTGTATGCATAATTGAAAATCATTACGAGAAAAGCAGATTTTAGAGATAAAAATAAGAAAATGTTATCTAGTTGATACTAGTATTCTCCTATTTAAGGTGATACAAACTGTTCGTTACACCCGTATGATATAATCATATGAGCGTCTCAATCTTAGTACCGTCCAAGGAAACAACAGCAGACTTCAAGACCGCAGTCTGTCTTGACTTAAAAGGAATTTATCCATTACGAGGCTTTCCTCGTTCTTACAAATTAATTGAGTACATATTTAGTATTCTTGTATTAATCTTTATTGATTTGTGTTGAGTATACATCAAATTCAGTTTTGGTTTGGTGTACGGGTACTCAGATAACTGAAAGTGGCACAAGAATGTCGGATCTTCCGAACTGGCAGGAAAAATTACATTTTTTTCGAATGATTTCCGAATTGTTATATTTTTCTAAATTTGGACTCTTATGAAATTAATTCTTCCCAGGAATTCATGCACTTTCATTATGCTACTGTAATCATTATATAGTACAGAGTGTTGAAACTAATAACAGTACACGCTCGTTTAAATCTACAGTATTTCCAAACTAAACTAAATAGACTTTTTTTTTTTTTTTATTAAAAGAAGGTATTTGCATAAACAATTTCAACAATATATGCTGAGCTTTAAGTTTAAGAAGAAACTTTTTTACATGATAATTCTAATGTGTTAAACCAAATTAAATTCAGCGATGAATGATGGGTTCGAGAATTCTAATATGAGTATAAATGAGACTAAGAAAAACAATTTTACTAACAATTTTCATATAAAATACTGATAGAGCAATACATATTTCAACGTCAAATAACTACTTGCTAAGTTTTCATTACGAAAATTTCAATTTGTAGTTTTTCGATCTGGCAATCCGGGACTGGTACATATACTTTAATGAAATGTATCAAAAGATTATCCAGGATATCTAGAAATTTGACACTATTTATTAGAATATGTTTTTTGTTATGGATTAATTGAATGAAAAACATGTAACATTTTGTGGACTTTTTACACGATGATTTGAGAATTTACAATATTATCTATGTTTTTGTGTTGTTGTTCTTTTGAGTAGCGTATGTGCTAGGACATTAATAATTATTTATTTAATGAGTAATCAAGTCAAAATATCGGAGTTTTTAAATAAATGAGTATCTAGATAGTCTGATTTCCTTTTCTGATAGAATTCATTTTGTTTTTTAAAAAGAACGTTCCTGATGTGTTGTTTATTTATAATGAAATGTAAGTTGCTGTAATAATTCTATTTATGTGATTTTTTTTCCATTTGATCGTATATTATTGATTTAACGATATGTAAATGAATTAGTGAAAATATTTCATTCTCGTCTACACTTCTATTATAACAGTAATTGTAGATAATTTTTAGAAATGATGGAAAATAAATTGAAATTGATAGGATATAATTATCGAACAAATTCAAGAAAAGTTCCTATCGAAAGGTCGTAGAACATTGTTTGTATTTGTATGTATTGTTGCTCTTACTATCTATTTTTTCTGATGAAAAACTCAAGCCTAACTGATAGACATCTTTATTGATATAGCTTTAGGTATTTCTCGAAAAATCAAATAGCGGTATTCCGACTTGAAATTTTGCTCATAGATAGATCTGATGGGTCTGATAATATCCTGAAATTTTCAGCTGAAAAGAATGTTTCTTTGTCGCGATATTGAATTTTCTAAAAAATGATTGTTTGCCACAAAAATCGGGTTTACTTGAAAATTCAATATCTTGACCAAGAAACACTCTTTTCGGTTGAAACTTTCAGAATATTCTATTAGTCATTCGAACTATTTACGGGCAAAATTTCAAGTCGAAATATCATTAGTCGATTTCTCGGTAAATATCTAAAGCTTGATCGAAAATTCAGTAAAACAATTGTAACTCAGTTTTAGAGGCTCATAAGCGCGAAGCCTTTTATGGTTTTTCTAGTCTTACCGAGAGACTTCCTTGTAAATCCGATATGAGCTCAAACCCCGAGTATTAGTTCGAGCAATTCCTTAATTAGTGAGATTTCTAGGTGTATGCATAAGATCAGTTGTAATCACATTTATTTAGACAACAACTTGATGGATTTTGTGACATAATTAAATATTCTGTATTTGTATTGAAGTATTCTTTCAAATCTCGTTGTTTTTCGGGATGTTCGGTCCCTTTCGATATTTACAAATTCTCAGTTTATTATTGACACACTTGAAATTCGACATTATCTACTTCAAACCAGAAGTTTGCGTTGTTTTTTTTTGGTACTTTCATCAGTAGTCAGCCATAAGAAGTGCAGTGATCTGAGAATTTTTGTTTTGATATATCCGCTTGTGTAGAGCTGTTTCTGCTGATTATCTCGGTAAAACGATTTTCCTATTTTCATCATCAAATAAAGATGCTATAGTCAATATACTGGAAGAAAAACTAAATTTGCTCTAGAACTCCAGAGCAATGTGATGTTATATTGAGCCCGATGCTGTCATTTGTTGATGAAAATTACTCTTTCGGAAATGGTCAGCGTATAAAGCCCTATAAAATGGAATATATCAAAAAGTTTTCGGATATGTTTTTTAGTTGACTACCCATGCAAGTGCTCTACCAAAATTTAACTGTTATCGTACGAGTTTCTCGGGAATTTTCTGTACAAGATCATTTGAGAGGACTCTGTGAAGCTTCGAAGAAGCTAGATAGGCTAGCGAAAACTTAAAGATTGTAAATACGGTGGCTCCAATAATTAATTATCCGGATTTTGTTTCACTTGTTTTTCTGTAATGGTAACTCGTATTAAGTCTTCAAATAGTGAGCAGGATAGAGAAATTTGTTTCCGACAAAGATTCGAGAGTTCCGAATGCTGAAAAATTAGCTTTTCTAGGTTTTATACAGATCCTAGATTTTGAGAGTACAGTGAGGATTTTATTTCCCTTAAATCTTTGTGTGAAACAAATTCCTCTGTTTAAATTACTATTTGAATTCTTTATGTGAGTTACCATTACGGAAAACATTCGAGATTAAATCTGTATGATCAGTTTTTGGAGTCGCTGTAAATTATTTTTAAAAGTTGAGAAAATTTAAAAGCATGACAATATAAATACTTTTACAAAAGCCTAATATCTATCGTTTACTTATTTTTGTCCTTTTACTAGATAATAATGGTTTTAAACGATTTTACTAAACTTTTTGCTCATGAATAAAAATTTAGAATTCTCGTCTATCATTAAGAAAAGCCAATGACTCATACGGTCAAAAAATACCATCGAGATATTCCATTCTCTTTCTGATAGGTTATTTTCGGGTCACATGGTACATCAATTATTGCGCGTTTAAAAAACTGATGGTCGTAGATATTTTTGCAATAAATCAAGAACGGAAAGAGCTACAGAGCTGCGGTTTTCATCAATCAACAGAGAAGACATCAGGACGTCTTTTTCTCCAATATTATACAAGCCGAAATCATATTTAAAATCAACCATTTTCACAAAACATCAAAACAATGTATCAAAACGATGTGTCCTTCAAATCAAATTTTGACAAAAAGGAAAAAAAATTGCTTAAAAATTAAGAGAAATCCATAGTTTTTGAGGGACTAAATAGATAATTTTATTGGCTTAACGTTAGAATGTGTGAAGATAATCAATCAATTTATTTCTCAAACTATAGATCTGAAGTTCTTCTATCTAAATCACAAATCAATATCAAAATTTCATCGGAATGACAGACCGTTTTCATGCATTTTTGCCAATATTTTGCAGAAGTGATTGATTTTCAAATGATTTCGTCTTATATAATACTGGAGAAAAAGACGTTCCAATGTCTTCTCTGTCGACTGGTGAAAACCGCAGCTCTGTAGCTCTTCCCATTCTTGATTTATTGCAAAAATACCTACGACCATTATTTTTTTAAACAGGCAATAGTAATGTTTTGTTTTTCTAAACAATATGTTTGAATGAAATACTTCATTTTGTAAAGATTTTTTAGAAAACGAGAACCTATTAAATATATGTTTAGAATTGTTTGAATTTTAATGCACATTGAAAAAAAATGCGAAG